ATTAACGTGGGTTAATATTATTTCATAGGCATAGGCCGATGAATGAAATAAGTCCAACAACGAAGTCCATGAGCTACACCCGGCCCAATTGTATTCCTTATGGATGGCTTGAATCTTGGCCCGTTTACCCTTTAATGGCCCAATTTAAAGCCTAACCTTAGAGTATATATTTGGTTATAACCCTAGCCACTTTGATATGATGATTGTGTGATTTTGAGAGAAGAAAACAAGAGAATCCCGGCTGCCCCCCTTTGTGTGAGAAAAAAGGTGTCCAGAAGTGTCCAGAACGCTAGTATAACGTGTGCAATTGGTGGTTCTTTCATAGTACACCTTTGTGGTGTCTTCTCTTAGCATTTGTGGCGATAAATCATCATCCCTTCTTGTCCTACGTGGGTTAGATTGTACAGCAACCAAGGTGAATCAATTTGGTTGTGGGTTGGAGCCATGTGGATTGGTTGTTGGTAGAGAACGGTACGTTGGACTGAGCCTGAAAAACCACCGTTTGAAGATCTTTTGAGAGAGCTTCCACAAAAATTGGTATCAGAGCTTCAAGGTTAAGGTTTTGGCTCGTGAAATCTACCAGAAATTGTCCAGAAAATCGGTAGAAATGCAGCAGAAATCAGATCGAAGAAGCTGTCCAAAAACTATTAAAATCAGTCACCATTTTTCGCGTTTTCTGATCAATCCAGAAGGGGTTTGGGAAAACGGAGACCACTAGCGTGACGTGCAGGAAGATGCGAACCCTGCAGACCGGCGCGTGCCAGGATACGGCGGCGCGTGTGGTGGCGCGTGAGGACCACGCGTAGAGAGGAAAAGGAGCGCGTGAGGGTGCATGGAAGGGATTTTCGAGAAGGTCCCTTCAAGCAGTTTGTTCCTCATATTATTTTTGACATTTTTCGTGTTGGAAGTTTTCTGTTTCAGGGTACACAGTTGAATCTGGACAGCGTTGTTCTTCGGGGGTTCGGGACTCGATTGTGATTTTTTGGTTGTTGCAGTTTTCAGAGACTTTAGGACGAATAGTGATAGTCCGAAAGTGATGAATTCGCGTCTCTCGATATTTACGGACCTTCAGACGTGGTCCGCTCGGTATCGTGTTCTTTGTTTTTATTATTGCAGTTGAAATAAATGTGTAGAGTAATTTATTTTTTGCATTAGAGGTCATCATGTGGGATGACATTAGGTTTGGGGTTACCATGAGGGGGTAACCAATGCCTGTTGCTAGACCTAGGAATTATTTGCCTTAAATTTTTTGTGAATTTGCTGTCAATTTTTTCTACATTATTAGAATTGCATGTGGCCTTAAGAAAGTTTACTGGACTATTCTATGTGAATTATGTCCATACTTTACTTGTGGTCATTATTTGGCATTGTTGGCAAATGTGGGTCTAAGGTAAATGTAAAAAATAACATATATTTTAACTGTGGTGAAATTTGGACATAGTTGAAAGAGATTGTCCTAGGATAATAATAAAAGGAAAGATGAGGATAGAGACAAAGCTAATATGACTTTAGGGTCGAGTAGTGATCCTAGTGAGGTTTATTGAGAGAATAAACCTGGTTCTTGCATTGTATCTGTGTGTAATCCTTTCTGCTTGTATGTGGTCACTTAATTCTGTTGCGATGTTGATTTTACACTTTCAATATGTTTGATATGTGTAATTGCATGAATTAGAGTGACTTATTACTTTGTGTAATATGTTTACATGTATAGTGGGTTAAGTTTTGTGGCATACTCTTTTTGCTTTGTGAGTGGTGTGAGAGTGTGGTAGTGAGAAGAAAGATGGGCAGCCGTTTCTCTCCTTCATCTTTGTGAGCCTATGTGGTTTGTGAGATTATGTGAGGCAGCCATGTTAGGGTTACCTTCTTTATCATTGTGAGCCTCTTTTGTGAGTGTAATGAAGTAACCGACTCTTTCTTCGATTCTCTTTGAGAGTGCCACCTTCAGTATTTTCTTTGTGAATTTTTTTAGGAGCATTGGTGAGTAGATTAACCTTTGTGGTCACCGAAAGGTGTTGTTTTGCCATAGTGAGTTCGAGATGCATTAGCAGTGAGTTGAATGTCTTTTGGTAAGGTGGAGTATAGATGCCTAGGGGTACATGGTGGTTTGTACCGGGGATGTGGAGTGTGACATTTGGATCACGAGTGGAGATGTGATCAAATGTCTAGAATCCTTTATCTGGAAAAAGACCCTGATCAGGTGGAGTGTGAGAGAGGCACTTCTATCACTTCTGTTAGGTGGAGATCCATTATCCACGTAGGTTGGGAGAAGGGATGTGGAGATAGAGGATTATCCCGTGGACTTAGGATTTATTGTGACTTACCAGTTAGACATGAGTTGAGTGATCTATCTAGTGAGCGTGGTGGGCGATGAGAGGAGATATGTGTTCTCGAGGTGTAAGCAACACGGAATGGGATATGATAAGTGTGGTGAGATCTTTTCTTAGGGTCATTTATGCATGTATTGCATATATGGTTGACCTTGGTTTGATTGACTCGGTATTAATCTATGATTCTATATGAACGTGTTTCTGAAAAGATTTGCGTGTGTTATCCTATAGTATATCGTCATCGCATGTGTATTTGCTCTTGATTGTTTACTGTTAAATATTTGCTTCTACTTGGGTGTTTTTGACCTTAGCCCCAGTGAGTACATGGAGCAGGTATGGTATGTATTTTAAGTTGGAAACACAAGGTAAAGTCTGTGATCTAATTTTATTGGCTACCTTGATTATGCAAGTGTTAACTGTGTGTTTTGATTGCTTGCAGATTTATTGGGCATCAAGGTGGAGATTTGTTGGGTTTTTGATACCCAATAAATCCCGGGCTATAATGTTAACGTGGGTTAATATTATTTCATAGGCATAGGCTGATGAATGAAATAAGTCCAACAACCAAGTCCATGAGCTATACCCGGCCCAATTGTATTCCTTATGAATGGCTTGAATCTTGGCCTGTTTACCCTTTAATGGCCCAACTTAAAGCCTAACCCTAGAGTATATATTTGGTTATAATCATAGCCACTTTGATATGATGATTGTGTGATTTTGAGAGAAGAAAATAAGAGAATCCCGGCTGCCCCCCTTTGTGTGAGAAAAAGGTATCCAGAAGTGTCCAGAACGCTGGTATAACATGTGCAATTGGTGGTTTTTTCATAGTATACCTTTGTGGTGTCTTCTCTTAGCCTTTATGGCGATAAATCATCATCCCTTCTTGTCATACGTAGGTAAGATTTATAGCAACCAAGGTAAATTAATTTGGTTGTGGTTTGGAGCCGTGTAGATTGGTTGTTGGTAGAGAAAGGTACGTTGGACTGAGTCTGGAAAATCACCGTTTGAAGATCTTTTGAGAGAGCTTCCGCAACATTAGGGTTTCTGTTAGAGTCCTAATTGAACCATCCCCTCTACTTCTATTTTAGGTGTCGTTACATTTATAGACATTTTCTTTTATACTAAAGATGAACTATTTGAGTATAATTGGAATAGCAAAGTGTTTCATGCCCTATTTGGCCGTATCTGCCGAGGAGTTTAGAAAAGTGTCGACGTGTGAGACTGTGAAAAAAGTTTGGAATATCTTAGAGACCACATATGAGGGAACCAAAATTGTTAAGAACATCAAACTGCAGATGTAGACAATTAGGTTTGAAGAAACTAGAATGAAGGACGATGAATCATTCAATGAATTCTATGCAAAATTAAATGATATAGTAAACTCTAGCTTCAACTTAGGTAAAAATTCCTGAAACTAAGATTGTTCAAAAACTTCTTAGATCATTACCTGAGAGATTTAGACCTAAGATCACAGCTATTGAAAAGAAAAAGGACTTATATGTGATTAAGATAGAGGAACCTGTAGGATTCATCCAAACCTATGAACTCACCATATCACAACTGAATAAGAATAAGCCTATAGCTTTAAACGCCTTTGAGGAAAAATATAACTCTACTGATACTGAGACCCTTAAGGATGAGGAGATAGCATTTTTTATTAAGAAATTTCAAAAAGTTTTTATGAATATGAGAAATTTTCAAGAGTGAAATAAGGGTGCCCCAATAAGTTCTAGAAAGACAAGTATGATAAGACTAATACTATGAGTTTAAGTAAAAAACAAAAAAAAAACAAAAAAACTCGGTCAGTTAGATGTCATAAGTGTCAATGTTTTGGCCACTGCAGAAATGAATGCCCTAACTATAAGAAGAACCTAAATAAAGGAAATGGTAAGGTAATGGTTGTATCTCTTCCTGATGATTAGTCCAATTTCAGTGACCAGAGTGATTCTTCTAGCAGTGAGGATGATAGGAACTATATGGCCTTCGCTTCTATAGTTAAACGTGATTCAGATAAGGATAGTGAAAAGGTCGAGAAACGTAAATCATTGTGAGTGTGCCGAGGGAGAATCTAGAAATGAGGAAAACCCTGAAGATGATATAGAGATTCGTGAGGCATATAATCAATTGTTTAAGAAGGGTCTTAAGATAAAGAAGGTTTATAGAGCGAGCCGCTAAAAGGTTAATGAACTTGAGCATGAGAGAGAAAACTTGTATTTGACATTCAGGAGTCTACCAAATGCCTTGATCAGTTGAATGCTGTGAATGAATCCTTGTTTACATAGACAATTTCATATAGACAAGAAGTCAAATTATGCCCTTGTTTGAGTCCCATTTTTTCATCAAAATACATTTTTCAACAGTGATTTGACACCATTTCAACTGCACATTCTTCAATAAAATAATATTATACGTAAATCAAATTTTTTTTCTTATTTTTTAACCACACATTTCTAATCAATACACTATTTAAAAATTCATTTTTTCCTCTGAAATGGGGCTCAAACAAGAGCTATAAGTGTCTAAACTGAACATGTTTGACAAAAATGGTTAAACATATCTTTTATCAATATATTTTGTATGATCTACAATTTATCATTTACTTATTATTCACACAAGATTCACAGCTTGCATTTCAATCCAATGACAAACAACACTAAAATTTAAGCCAATGTTCAATCATTATAGAGCTTTGATTTGCATGATTACCCAATCGAAATTAACGTAATTTCAAATCAAATTCTGCCCGTTATCACATTAATCAGCCTATGCCAGTGCTGCCCGCCATATGGCTCTTTCTGCACCACCGCTCGCCGCCGCATCCTCCAATCTCCACCACTTCCTTCCGGCGTCCTCCGACCCTCCCTATAAACTACTCCAAAACCACCCCTGTCTTACTCTCCTCTCCAAATGCAGAAGCATAAAGAATCTCAAACAAATCCACTCTCAAATCATCAAATTTGGACTCCACAACACCCTGTTTGCACTCAGCAAACTTATCGAGTTTTGCGCGGTTAGCCCATCTGGTGACCTCTCTTATGCTGTATCGATCTTCAATTCGATTGAGAATCCTAATCACATTATATACAACTTGATGATTCGAGGATACTCGTTAAGCTCGTCGCCTAGTTCGGCTCTAATTTATTACATAGATATGCTTATTTTGGGTCTTCAACCAAATTCTTATACATTTCCGTTTGTTTTTAAATCTTGTGTAAAGCTCATGGCTTTAAATATGGGAAAACAAATTCATGCCCATGTATTGAAACTTGGACTTGAATGTGATGTGTTTGTACATACTTCACTTATCAACATGTACGCTCAGAATGGGGATTTAGATGGTGCACGGATGGTGTTTGATAAAGGGGATTTTAGAGATGCAGTGTCTTGTACAGCATTGATTACTGGATATGTCGCTAAGGGCTACATTGATATTGCTCGTAATCTGTTTGATACGATTCCCATAAGAGATGTTGTATCGTGGAATGCTATGATATCAGGGTATGCTCAAATTGGCAAGTTTGACGAGGCTCTGATCTTATTTCAAGAAATGAGGAAAGCAAAAGCTACGCTGGATGTGAGCACATTGTTGAGTGTTCTTTCCGTATGTGCTCACTTGGGCGCTCTTGAAATAGGAAACTCGGTTAGATCTTGGATTGAAGATCATGGTCATGATTCAAATCTTCGCGTTGTTAATGCTTTGATTGATATGTATGCAAAATGTGGTGATCTCGATATGGCGTGGACTTTGTTTGAGAATTTACAAGAAAAAGATATTGTCTCGTGGAATGTTATGATTGGTGGTTACACGCACATGAGCAGTCATAAAAAGGCGTTGGAAGTTTTTCGTCAAATGCAGCTTGAAAATGTAGAGCCCAACGATGTTACTTTCTTAAATGTTATTCCAGCCTGTGCGCATTTGGGTGCTCTTGATATTGGTAAATGGATACATGCTTATGTCAATAAGCATCATCAGGACTTCACTAATGCCTCGCTATGGACGAGTCTCATGAATATGTATGCGAAATGTGGAAGCATTGAAACTGCCAAACAAATATTTTACAGCATGGAAACAAAAAGTTTGGCATCTTGGAATGTTATGATATCTGGGTTAGCGATGCATGGAGATGCATATAAGGCAATTGAGCTTTTCTCTGAAATGTGCAAAGAAGGATTCCAACCGGACGAGATCACCTTTGTTAGTGTTTTATCAGCTTGTTGCCATGCTGGTTTGGTTGATCTTGGTCGCCAATATTTTAATTCCATGATCCAAGATTATAATTGTGCCCCGAAATTGCAGCACTATGGATGTATGATTGATCTACTAGGCCGAGCAAAACTGTTTGATGAAGCAGTGACCCTGATAGAAAGAATGGACATCGAGCCAGATGGTGCTATATGGGGTTCTCTGCTCGGGGCTTGTAGAATCCATAACAATCTTGAGATCGGGGAATATGCCGCCAAAAATCTTTTTAAATTGGAACCTAATAACCCTGGAGCTTATGTACTTTTGTCAAACTTATATGCAGGCGCAGGTAGATGGGATGACGTAGCAAGAATAAGAACATTTTTGAATGACAAGGGAATGAAGAAAGTTCCTGGTTGCACCTCCATTGAGGTCGATAGTGTTGTCCATGAGTTTCTTGTCAGCGACCGATCACATCCACAGAGTACTGAAATCTATAACATGCTTGATGAAGTAGATAGGCTTTTAGAAATGGCTGGGCATATACCCGATACATCCGAGGTGCATTATGACGTGGATGAGGAGTGGAAGGAAGGTGTACTATGTCAACACAGCGAGAAATTGGCGATTGCTTTTGGTTTGATCAATACAAAACCTGGGACAACCCTACGGATTGTTAAGAATCTTCGTGTATGTGGTAATTGCCATACAGCCACAAAGCTAATATCAAAGATCTTCAATAGGGAGATTATTGCTAGAGATCGCAACCGGTTCCACCATTTCAAGGATGGTAATTGTTCATGCATGGACTACTGGTAAAACATTACAGCTTGAACAGAAGAAATTTGTGAATGTCATTTTGTAATTCTGTAATTCTGTAGATACACAAATGAATCAATTGAAATCTCTGTTCTTATAATTTGATGACCAAAAGAAGATTATTGTCCAATGCAAAACCTTATATTTCATTTAGTTGAGAGTAGAGAAGCATAATATACCTTTCCCCTCTGATCTTAATTTGAGAACCTACCGGCCTGAGAGTATTGACATTGTAACCGAGTAACTCGATGTGGAAGGAATATCACTATTCATTTGGTAATTTTTCACTAGACCAAATCTAGGCTTGGGAGCACAACCAGGATCAGCTGCCTCTTCATCAACTGATAACAAATCAACAATAAGCATTTGAGTGTCGGGTGGGTCTTCGACCAGTACACGCCCCTCGAGCATTTCCACAACCATAGCCATGCTTGGCCTAAGCTTGGCCTTCTCTTGTATGCACCACAAAGCTGCACAGACCAGTCTCTTTAATTGCCTCTCATTAACCCCTCCATCTTCAACCAACCTTGGATCAACAATTTCCATAAGTTTCCCATCTTTCAATTTCTCATTCACAGTCTTTGGGAAGTATTGAAACTTTTTTTTCGACTTAGCGTTGCCATTTTCGAGTACACGGACGTTTCTTCGTCCACCGATAATCTCTAACAACACCATTCCATAGCTGTAGACATCACATTTCTCAGAAACTCCATTCTCCAAGAGCCATTCAGGAGCCAAGTAACCTCTGGTCCCACGGATCGTCGTCACAACTCGACTCTCATCTCTTCCTTTTAGCTTCGCAAGCCCGAAATCTGACACGAGCGCGTGATAATCATGGTCGAGAAGTATGTTTTCCGGCTTCACATCTAGATGTAGTATACAAGATCGACAATCGTGGTGCAAATAAGAAAGGGCTTTCGCTACATTAAGAGCAACTATACATCTTGAATCCCATGTCAGACAACCACTACGTCGACCACAACTTGCCTCCTTGGGGAAAATCCAATTATCTAACGAGCCATTATGAATGAAGTCGTAAACAAGGAAACGAGGACCGCCCGACGGGACACAATACCCAAGAAGGCGAACGAGGTTTACGTGTTGCACGCTAGCAATAGCTGCAACTTCTGATTTGAATTCCTTCTCCCCTCTCTCCTCTCCTTCGATCCTTTTTACTGCAACTGCCGTCCCATCATTGAGTATCCCTTTAAAGACTGAAGCCGACGCCCCACGTCCTACCATAGATCGAAAGCCATCCGTCGCTACTTCCAAGTCCCGATACCGGAACTTTATCGGAACTCCGGCAACTTTCCTCAGAAAACTGTACTCGATTCGAAGCTCCCGGCCTTCCGAATCGAACTGCCGTTCGAGTTGTTTTCGTCGAGCGGTAAAACGAAACCGGATTACTATAACTGCAAAAACTGCTAGAATTGCTGCTATATCAGCTCCACATACAAGGAAAAATGTCTTGGAAAGTTTCAAGAATAAACGAGCAATGATAATGACAATTACGAGCAAAATTACAATGGAAAATGCAATCAAATTTGCCTTTTTGTCTTCCATCAATTTTGCATTGCTGTTATCAAGAATAAACGAAAATTTCTTCTTCTGATTTTCATGTTTGTTGGTAACTGAAATACATTAAAAAATAAAATAAAATCAAACACTTGTAATAAAATTTACTTGCTTATTTTCTGGGAAGAAGAGGTACAATGATCGTGCAATATTTTATTTATCCGAGTTGCAACGTAGACTATAAAGAAATAAAGAACGTTCATATTGGCCAAATTGATTGACTATACACAAAAGACCATTTGTTTTTGTGTATTTTTCTTCCCCATTTAACTGACAAAGTCAATGGATGTTCACCTAAGTTATCTGTCAATAATCCTAATTAAGCAAAAAAAAAAAAAAAAAATTCCTTTTTTGCTTTTAGAATTTGCTATTTATACATAAAAATGGTACATAAGCAGTAACCGAAAATGAAGTGGAAGGAAAAGATTGAATGAAAAATTTTATATGGAAATTATGTAATTTCTTATGTAAATTTTAATATATATGTAGCAAGGTTCGTTTGTTTAACCCTTCTCCATATTCATCCAATTGACCTTTTGAAAATCGTAATTTTATGGAAGCTTCTTATTGCAGGAGTAATTAATATTTAGCCCAAATTTGATCAGATTTTAATTTACTTAAAAACTTAAAGTCAACAATTAATTTTAATCAAATATTTCATGTAATCCACGTCTTTTCAACCACACATTTTATCAACTATTATTAAAATATACTAAATACTTATTTTAATCTATATCGAATAAGGGCTTAATCTAAATGTATTACATAAATATGAAAATGACTCAATAGTCTAACTTTGACTTTTTGAATAGGCATACAAATAATGGCCTGAAAAATTAGACAAATCAACTTATTATTTTTGGGAATATGATATATCGAGTCAACCTGTGTAATAAATGTGTGTATATCCACAAATACATTATACACAAAACCCTAATCAAGGTTGTGGCTATTAGAAATCCATGACCTTGCCAAATAGCTGTCTTTGAAATTATTGTCTTTGAAGGACCATATTGGTGAGAACATTTATGACGACACATTCATATACGCTCACTCTTCCTTCTTCATTCCACTTCATGATAGGGTTGGCAACGGTTCGATCAAAATCATAACCGCATCACCAATTTTTTGATCATACCATAACCGCACCATAACTACGCAAATCGGTTCGGTTCGATTCGTATCTCGGTTCGGTTAATAACCACGAAAATAAAATATTTTTATAGGTTCATCCGTCAAATTGATATAAAACAATTTATGAAAAAAGTCAATGAAAACAAAGACAAAATATTCCAAACGAAAATGCAAACATTATTCCAATTTTCAATTGTAAGATACAAATTTAACAAACAATATTATAAATATAACAATATTAAACTTTTCCTTCATTCTTAAATGTTGGGCATCGAAGTTACTTGATTCATTCTTCCCCACAAGTCTTACTAGTATAGATCAACATTCAAAGTTGATTCCTATATAGCAAATAAGAAATGTAAGTAAAGAATATAACAATACTACGTATTACAGAATGGTCTTAACTAAAATTTAAATAAAAAAAAATGTACCTCTTCGTCAGCTTCCTTCTTGCTAAACGTTGTACAAGTTCTAGAATATAATGAATAAGTAAAATTTTCTACACATAATAGAAAAAAATAACAATAAAAGGAGTTATGCGTGAGTTTGTGGTTTGTGAAGAGTATGGTTTGCATTTATATACTGTCATACTAATGCTATTATTATAAATTAATGGTAAGTGAGTTGGCCGACTGAGTCAGGTAGATGTAATGGGGGGGGGGGGAGATTTTGTTTTGGGTTAGATAGAAAAGTAGTGTAAAGTCCAATAATCAATTCAATTGTTTTTTTTATAGCGGGTAATCGGTTCGGTTTCGGTTCGACTGTGTAAATATCATACCCGCACCGCCATGAATCGGTTCATTAAAATAAAAATCATATCCGCCACATTGCACCATCGGTTCGGTTTTTTTCGTCCCATTCGATTCGGTTAACCGCGATTTTCGATTTTGACGGTTCAAATTGTCATCCCTACTTCAGGAGCTGAGTCAAGATTCTGGAACATGCACGATTTTCAAAATTTTGTTGAAAGACCATAATATGATATTATTACAATTCTTACATTTTTTTTTATTTTTGCAGCGATGAATGAAATTTCATACTTTGAAAATGCTGCATTATAGATAGAGTTGTCAATGGATTGGATTTCGAATTCGATCTGAATCCTATGAAATTAATGGGAAATGAATTTAGGGTTTCAATCCGATAATCCAATTAAGGTCCGAATCCGATAATCCTTTAACTAAATGGAGTAAATATGGATATAGGTCGATCCGATCTGATAATAATCCGATTTATTGTAATAATATAATATATTTTATATATTATATCATAATCTAGTAAACGTAATTTTTTCCATTTTGAAAATTATATTATGCTTTACACATAATTTTCAAATAATAAATAATATTAGATAATAGTATAATATTGTTAATTCAAATATTCGAAGAGATTTAATTTTTTTATTAATTAAAATAAAATAAAAATAACAATAATAGTTTGTTTTATAACATCAAAAACTAATAATTAATATGTCCAAAATAATTTACATTGTTTAAATTGATATTATTTGTGATTATAATCTTGTTGAGGTAATGATTTTTAATGAAAATAATAAAATAAACTAGTAACACTTAAAATTGACAATTGACTAATATCACACATTGAAATATTACTAAAATGTTGGAAAATGAGTATTCTTTAAAAAGTTAGTATCCCACATTGGAAGATTACTAAAACATTCTAAGAAAAGTCTCATTTAAAAAAAGGAACTAAAAGAGTATCACTTAGATAAAAAATCGATTTGGGCCTTTTAGTATAAAAGGTAAGTCCATCAAGATAGTTAAAATATATTTTTTGGGAAAAAAAATCATATTACCCGAAAAAATGGTGGAATTTTTTTTTTCAAAATTCAGATCGGATATCCGATAACATAGCAAATTGAATATGGATTTAACAATCAAATATCCGCTGGATTATGGATTAGATAGGATAGGATAATATTTCTTAACGGATCAGATCGAATTTGGACAGATCCACTCCATATCCGATCGATTTACAACCCTAATTATAGCCCCATTATTAATTTAATCCATTTTCAAGAATTAGCCTATTTGGAAAAACAACACAAGAAAGGATATCCTAGGAATGGAATATGTTGGTTATTTAATAGCAATTTTAGCATTTGTCGAAGTTAACAAAAGTACCCAGAGGAATATATTTAGGGAATATTACATAACTTCTTCGTATAAGAATTACATTTCAAATCTAACAAACTTGTATGTTAATTATCCCCACCCCACACACTCCTACCAAACTAATGATATCCCACCCCCAACCCAACGCACCCCACCCTAGAAATCTGTAGAAATCCAAATCTCTCTACACCCCCACTCAGATGAACCCAACCTTATCCTACCTCACTATAGAAAACTCCAAAAATTAAAAATATTTTCTCTCTATACTCATTTACAGACACAAATAGTTGTAGAGGTGGTGGCTTTGTGTTTAGAAAATAAATCTACGTGGTGGTGATGGTGGTGCCTTACAGGTGATAAAAGTGAATCGGAGTTGATTTGTTTAACGGTGGTGGTGGGAGTGAAGTGGTAGAAACGTTTTGAGTACTGTGTGATGGTAATAATGTTACATTGTGGTTCACAAGATTTGTGACTAACTGTGTTATGTGTAACCAAATTTATTGTTTGTGACCATATTTGCGTTATCTGTGGCTAATAGTGACCAGATCGTCTGTAACCAAGCTAGTCTAATTTGTCACTCTATGTAACTAATCCACTATCATGTGTTATCTATGACTAATGATGACAAAATTTGTATGCAGTGTGGCTGTCTATTACCAAATCAACTAATTTGTAACTCACTATTAATCTGGTCACAGACCCAATGAAAATACAATTGATCATACCCAATTACATTAAATACATATTTAGTCACAGAGGGTCACCATAAAAAATTTGCACACACCAAAGACTAACACCACAATCCACCACCACTACCACCTTCAACTCAAAACCCACAACAATAATCACCATTACCATCATTTTCACCAATACCTTCAACAAACAACAACCACCATCACTAGCACCACCGGCATCACACCATAATTAAGGCCACAAACAACCGTCGCCAAACCTTAAAGACTGCAATCGATTACATGTCTTAACCACAAAATTTCACAACCTAACTAAAAAAAAAGTCCTTAACCATCCCAAATCTGAAAGCAACAAACTCGTGGTGTGCATTCTCTTATAGTTTCTTCAAGCAACGCTCGACCACCGTTCCCCAAACTACAGTCCCAGGCACCCACCGTTGAACCACCATTCCTTCAAGCACCCACCATCTCAACCAGCCATTCCCTAGTTCTATTGTCAGACCACCACTGGCCCATCATATCATTGTTATCACACTCATTTTCAGAACCCCCGAGCAATAGTAGAAGAGGAATAAAGATAAAAAAATAAATAACTTGACAAAGAAGATGAAACACCATTGAAGGATGGAAGAGCTTTTTCTTGTCGTATGAATTAAATGTTGGACAATGCTATACGTATCGAATTTTTTTACCGAATCTTTTACCTACTACTCACAACAGGAAGTGGAGACCACATGTCGGCATGCATTGTGAGAGGGGGGATACCATTCTGTATATATGGAATAATCCTTAAATGTTTTGTGGGGACAAGATGGGGCGATATTTGATGGACGGGTATTTTAATGGCAATGATAGGGATAAGAAAGTAGGGGTGGGGAGTGAACTGTCGTGGGTGGGTGGGAAATGAGATTATACCTGATTTTTGAAGAAAAATATTTACATCCTGATTTTAAATTTAGGCTTTAAGATAATTTTCCTATATATTTACACAACTACACAATTTTTCTGAAATTATACAGGCCCAATAATTAAATTCAATAATCTACTTAAATTAAACATGTCAAATTTTTAATTAAACTATTTATACGATTGTAAATTCAGTAATCCATTCAAATTAAACATGCTTAAATTCTAATTAAATCATTAGGTAATTAGTACAAAATATTCATTCCTTTGGATGACACAATGCTTACATCACGAATATTGACTTCCCACTATTTTATTATTTGCTCT